TTTCATTAAGTTTTAGTTCACCTGTAGCCTTGATCTTCACACCCGTAGCAAACTTGTTACTTTATGGGTGAACTGTATCAACTACAGGCAAATTCACCTTTCGATCAAATGCCCATCAAGCATGCTCATGTGTTACCTTGGGGCAACAGGTTACAGCCCTTATTGACAGCCCTACTAGATTCCTATGGTCCCATTCCAATGGTCCCATATCATCTTAAATTCACCTAACTTGTACTCTCCCTGATAAAGAATACTCAGTCAATTAATCTGCCTACCGTGCTAGTTTCCACATGTGTAAGAAAGTTTAATAAATTTTATTTCCTAAGGTGTTATCAGGAGATATGCGTTTAAGAACTGATTGTTGTTGCTTGCAGTGTTTGTGAAGATGTTTTGATGGACTTTGATGCTCTTGTTGAGGCACAGACTGGTTTTCGGAACAGCTGCTGTTATAGTCATGAACAAGCAGGTATTTTTTTGGTGCAATTTCCTTTAGTTAGCTTTATGTTTCAAAAAGGGCCATGGTGTGGTGTCTTAATAAGTCAAAAGCTACATCTGTCAAATAACAGCTGGTTTTGATTGGTTCCTGAGTTTTGTATGTAAAAAAAAAAGCAACCAAAGCTCAACAATCGTGGCCTTTGTATATTCCCCCAACCCCCANCAACAGCCAAAGCTCAATAATCATTGCCTTTGTATATTCCCCCAACCCCCATTCTCAGGTCATCGTAAAATTATATTTACACTCAATGTTTGTGTGTTTTCTTCAGTGTGATCTTATCCTTGCTATTTCCCGGCTCATCAAGTTCTACAAGCATGAGAGCTGTGGTCAGGTGAGTCTGGAGACAACCACTGAGTGTTGACCGAAAAGATGTAATAATGTAAAAGTCACATTGAGAAGTTTCTCAACACCGTTTGGTATTTACATCTATTATTATCGAAGATTTTTTTTTTTTAAAATGAAATTTGCATAAGCAGTCTACCTAGAAATAGGTGTTGACCATTATGGAGAATTCATCCTGTGATCAGGTCTACATGTACTTCTGTATCTCAGTATTGTTTTTGTTTGGTTTTGTTTTACCAGTGCACACCCTGTAGGGAGGGCTGTAGTTGGATGACTACAATCATGTACAGATTTGGTGAGTTGAGACTTCATGCATGTTAAAAAGAGACGAAATAGGCACTAGGCGAGCTGCATTCATCTGCCAGAATTATTTGAAAGAAAGGACTGTTTATAGTGTAAACAAAAGCAAGATGAATTATCTTTTGTGGTAAAATTCCTTGGTTTTTTGAATGAGAGAGTTCTTTCTTGTATGCTGGTTAATCAAACTCTGAGGCTGAGGAAATTAAGACAAAAATTACA